GAACTGCTGGACAGTCCTTTTGTTATCTGGTTATGATGCTAGGATACGGCCTAAACTTTAATGGTAAGGGATCTTCTACCGCTGCTATGCACTTATCAATCAAATATTAGGGTCTATTTCCGTTTGTTTCCTTGCTTCAGATCGACAGCCACGTCTCCGACCGCGTTATTGGACAAGTTACTCTCTAAAGACAATTATGATCCTAGGATACGGCCAAACTTCAAAGGTAAGACCGTGTCTGTGCTATGCCGTGTGGTTGTCGTTTGGTGTTGTACTGGCGCTGGTGGTGTACTCGTACGTTGGTGTCATGTGTGTATAAAAACATGCAGATTCGCAGTGCGTGAACCAACACTCGTACGTTGGTGTCATGTGTGTATAAAATCATGCAGATTCGCAGAGCGTGAACCAACACTCGTACGTTGGTGTCATGTGTGTATAAAACATGCAGTTTCGCAGTGCCTGAACCAACACTCGTACGTTGGTGTCATGTGTGTATAAAAAACATGCAGATTCACAGTGCGTAAAGCAACACTCGTCTCCTTGTTGTGTATCATCAACATCCACTGTATTCTGCGTCTACAATCGTGTGGAAATGTCCTGTAGCCGCATTGTGTATACTCCTCGTGATCAGGCGTCCGTGTTTTGATTAGCCAGTGTTTACATTGTTATTGATGTTCAGTGGTATCGTTCACTGTGAAAACTGCTTTTGCGCGCGTCGTGCTTTTTCGTCTGTGCTGTAAATTGAACGACTATGATTGTAGTAAGCCAAGAAGGTCCTCTTCGGCTGGCAGTGTTGAAATGCTCTGTTTTTTTCTTTCGCGCAGTAGTGACGTAAGAAAATCCAAATTTAGGCCTTTCTGACCTCGACAATCTATTTCGTGACGTAGGTCTTTGCCCACAATGCCTTTGGCGAAACAAAATAAAGCATCAATTCGTACCATACGCTAAATTTGTAGAACCTCTTTATTTAACGTTAACGTTGTAATAATGAAAGTTTATTGCAAAGTGACGTGAATAAAATTTTACGGATGATTAGTACCTTCAATTATAAGTAAATGATCAAAATAGTAAAATGCATATTTGCCGTACAATTGGAACAACACTCACTCGGACCATCCTTGAAACCGTGTAGACTTGCATATCGTCGTCTTTAAATGCCTTTATGTTTATCTATCAAATGTGTTAAGTCCAAATCGCATTGTGGGAGCCTCACGGATGACTTGTGATATGGGGGGGGGGGTCCTCATAGAGCATTTCCTTTGTGGGATGCTCTTTCCAGGGGATGTTGAGGGCAGCACGCAACAAACCTATATATACAGATAACTATAATCATAGGTCTCAGGATTACATGTGGCGTATACGGGGTGTCACCCTCCACGCCCAGTGTGCGATAACCCGGTCTATCGTGTCGCACTGCAGGCTGAGGGATCAGTAATTTGTGAGGACAACTCGGATTACTCCGTTTCCAATACTTACTGCAGACCGCGTCCCCTTTAATTCCGCATACCCAAATCCCCGGTGACTGCAGACATGATATAATATTAGTCATCGCACCACAAAAAGATGAGCGACGTAAGAAGAAATCGATAAACCCTCAGATATTACGAGCATTTCCTTTTCCAGAATCTCGGAATAAAAAAAAAGGTCACTGAGGCATGGCCTGAATGTGCTATTACCACGGGGACGGTCGTCTTGTAGAGTTGCGGAATTAAATTGATATCAGCGGCCTGGTGGCGGCCTGACAGGGATGGGATAACGAGATGGATGTTATTCCAAATCCGCCCAAATCCGCAGGGATTTCACTTATCCACGAATATGACCAGTTAGCCAAATCAGTATTCACCGGGATATTCCCCAGTTAGATTCCCGAGTTATGAAAAAGAGTTCCTCACGGTACGGAACAGTAAAAAGATCGATACCACAGCGGGATCTGTACGGATCGATAGAGCTGACTGTTACCAACCACAACATGGCGGACACTGAGGATAGGAAAGTCACACCACTGCGACAGCTCAAGCTAGAATAGAGAGAGACTATATAGAGTTTCATTAATTAGAATCTAATTAACCTGTTGGTCTAAGACTGGTATCAAGTTGTCAGGAAGAGCAGAACATTCAAATTTCTGCCATTCTGCATGGAACAGAAGGCGCGCCGTCAATCCATATAAACCGTATGAACCGTTACATTAGACAATGGGGGTTGTAGATTAATTGCGCTCGGCCGCAGCAGCAGCGAGATATTCAATCACGATCCGCGGCCGCCGGCGCGTGACCGAGCTAGCCGCGCGGGGGGAGTCAAAGGTGTGGGCTGTGGGGAGACTGAGGGAACTCCCCCGGGGCCCTACACCATCTCACGGCTTGATTAACTCATTCGTACGGCCGTGCGTCTGTCCCGTTCGCGCTGATGCGAGGGGATTTGATCAGCCGATTCCCGTCAGATATATATCACGGTGTATGTTTTGATTACTGTGTTGTATTGTTCACATTCTGCACCAACCAGAAATTATTATATAGACTCCACGTCGTTCTTCCAATCATGAAAAAGGTAGCTTTTCAATAGATGGTGATAAAGCTAAAGTATTGCGATATATATTTTGGTTACTTTGTCATATTTTTCACGTTTTGCATCAGCCAGAAAATATACACTCTTCTAGAAACATCAACGTCGTTTTTCCGATCATGGAAATGGTAGCTCTTAGGTAAATGATGATTGTGGACCTAGGATATCGCGGTGTATGTTTTGATCACTTCATATTTTCCACGTTCTGAATCAGCCAGAAAATATGCAACGTCGTTCTCTCAATCATGGAGATGGTAGCTCTTAGGTAAATGGTGATCGTGGTGCATTTTGTTATTACTGTACTGCATTTTCCACATTCTGAGCGAGCCAAGAAATATGCGGTCTTCTAGCTCAACGCCGTTCTTCCAATCATGGAGATTGTAGCTTTTTAGGTATTACAAAAATGGCGATTATAGAGCAAGGATATGGTGGTGCATGTTTTCATTACTGTGCTGCATATTAGACATTCTGAGAGAGCCAAGAAATATGCGGTCTTCTGGTCCCAACGCCGTTCCTCCGATCATGGAAATGATACCCTTTAGGTAAATGCCGTTTAAGCCATTAAGGGACGTCTTGTCGTCGCAGGTTTGACGCTGAAAATCAATAAATTTTCGTGGAGGTTATCGTATATTAAACACCGAGAAGATAAGGAGACGCCTTAGCGTAGCTAACAGGGATTGGTAACATTTCAGTACCAAGGACAGAACCATTTACAATAGCAGACGTAGTAAGAAGGCTTGAGCCTTCATTTTAAGACCTTCAAGTGGTCCCTTCGTTTGAGCAGAACTGGTAATACGCTGCCCGTGAAACATACATGTATTATAACTGTGACAACCCCTTATTAATAATCTCAAGCAAATGCCATGAAGTACTGACAATCCATTTACAAGGAGCATATCTATTAATAACCACCAGTAAAACGTCAGTAAAAACAGTTAGGTGTTGGATCAGCTTGAACCACCTTTACGTTATTCTCTGGATCATCATTTCCATTTCCCATGCCATTTGTCAGCTTTCTAAGGAGCCTCTGAAATACCTTCTTGCCCAAAGATAAGATCGGGTTCACCCTCCTGCACACATTACCAGACGAAAAGAAATGGCACTTCCAACTCAGTGATCCCGCCAAATCCTCGATGCTTCCAAATCAAGTAGTAAAATTGCAGAAAGCATTTTATGCCGGAGGCCTAGAGGGGTGGAGTAGACTGTCCTTTCCGTACGGGCTTCGGAATTCGTCACTGACGTTACTGCGCAGTACTGGGTATGAATAGGAATCAGCGACGACGGGGTTTGTCACGTATGTAAAAACAACGCCGCAGGCACAAACGGTAGGCAGATGGTTTGACAGTGACATGGAAATTGGAATTGAATGGCAGTGTGAACCTCCGGTTGAATATTTAGCACCCTTTTCCTTTTGAGACATTGGATTCACATTTTTCTACCATATGCGTTGGCTCTGGACATGGTCTTTAGTTACAGACAGCGAGATTGCACGTTAACTTTCAACATTCGACCTACACGGACGGTTTCATGGTCTTGGTCGTTTGAAATACGAGAGTCAAACACTTCAGGGGGAAGGTTTATAGAAAATCAGTTCCTTACATCGGACCGGAAATTACCGCAAATTCTCCTACATGCGTGGAAATGCCAGCCGATAAAACCGATGCTCTTCGCAGAGTGCCGGCAATGCGAGGAAGGGACGGTCTTCTGCGATTACTCCGAAACTAGCTCTAGCGTAACAGGCAATTATCTCCCGTTATTCGGCGTAACTGCGCTTTAACTGATAGTGCATCATACACAGCTGCACCGAGAGTAGGGAGAGTAGAGCATCATTCTGAAATCGGCTGCGGTAAATGCGCGCTGTCACGTGTAACAAATGAACGCATTCCTCACCAGATTTAGCAAAGCCCGTTCTCCATCAGGTGCGGAAATTTGAACTTAAGAGGTTTCCACTCTCCAAATTATCTCAATCAAGACAACTTGAGCATACATTTCGACGACATTTCTTGGAGATTAAGATTATACATAATAACGTGGCATAGAGATGTTACATCAGTACAGGTTGGGTCATTCTGCCTAACTCGTTGAGTTGGTGAAGACATTCCAAAGTCGCACTGATTCCTTCTCAACTCTGCCTTTATCATCGGTGACGGAATTCGTTCTGGAACCGTAAACTTTTCCTTCCAATTAGAGGCTCTGGAATAAAACTCCGGGTCTCTTAACTTTACCAAAAGTGGATAATATAGGCTGTCAGAGAATCCATTGTTTGCAACATCACGAGGAATTACACTTGGTAAATGGGCCACAGAATGACCCAAGGGCCGCGCATGTTTTACCGTTACTATGTAGGTAAATCACAGACCAGGTGGATGGGGGAATTCTGAACCGTCAATCTGCCGGATACTTAATGGCCTCCGTGTTATATCCTGTGTGCTTTGATGGAATGTCCAAGCTCCAGCACCGATAGTCATCGGATCAAATCCTCGGTCGTTACATTGCAGAGACAGCCGTTTACGGCCGCCCAAAGGCCACTGCAGCTATACGTGCAATTTTAGCGTAAGTTTGAGTACATGGTGGCGTAACGTCCAGTGCTTGAAGCATCCAAATCACGGTTCCAGAGCCAGTTAGAGATGCAGGAGTTTGACGTGTAGCCAAACTGCAGGAATCTGGTGAATCAATCACCTAGTTTTATTTTTCCGCACTTCTTTTTATTTTATTTTAGATTTATTACACAATCATACATGTATTTAAACGGTCAAGGGAAAAAGGACTGTGATTCAGAATTGGCCAACATTAAGGAAGCATGATAGTTTCTGGTATAACAAAAATGACTTTACTTTCGCACGGTTAGATTTATTTATCTATTTTTGTGTTCTTTTACCAGGGTATCACTCTCAGTAATTAGGTACTGCTTTTCAGTATGACCATGGGCACACGTATACAAACAACGCAACAATTACCACAAGACAAGAGCAGAAAAAAATCATTCAATAAGTAAGTCTCGCACCTCATAATTTTCCCCAGCCAAAGTAAGCCTGTCTAATGTTGCTGACCTAGTTACAGTGCTGACCAGTAGGCTAAATTGTGCTGACAGGCGATTACTGGACAAGACTCATCGACCCCAGACGGCCCGTCTCACGGGACACAATCAGCCTGCAATACCGGATCGATGGTTCACTTAGTGCCGGTGGAATTCACATTTCTAACGGTAGCAGACAAAAAAAACTTTTTCAGTAGGTGTCAGCAACAAAGTCTGTCTGTTTTGGTCCATGACGGTTCAACGGAAAGTGAAAGAAAGTGAAAGTGATCTTGAACCAGTTTAGCTCACTGAAGAGCTAATCTCCCACTGGTCCTGACAGAGAAGACAGAAGCTATGTACAGTATTTACAGGTTCATTGTACCGGAAAAATCCACCTAGCTCTTTTCGGCAAGCACAATGAATAGAGGACCACGGCTTAACGTCCAGTCCTAAGGACTGCGACCCTAAACAGTAGCGTGCATGTCGGGTGAGCGACAACAGCCGGGATTCAAACTCCCAACCTCTTAGTCCAGAGGCAGGATCGCTAACCACTAGACTACGCACGCACGCACGCACGGACGCTAGCAGTGGCGACAAGACGTATCACATTACCTTACATACGACTTGTATCGTCCGATGGCTTATCCTAATCTGGAACAGTAATCCCTTCAATCTACACGTCTACAGCATAATTCTTGAGATTACGACATTATAGATACAATAAAAACCGAGTCCAAATCATGACCATATAAACAATGGCATCGTATCTGGGATCTGTTTGTAAATTTTACCCAATTGTCCCCAATGTATTACAGCTCAACTTTGCTTCAGAATATACCAAATGTTTTAACATTCTATGTCAACAGTTTGTTCCATTGTCCAAAAGTTCCTGGAGCACATGTCTCTTTTTGTAAGACATTGAAGATTCCATGATGTTGTAAAATGTGGAACCAATCCTTTTGTTTCGGCATTTCGCGTGCAATTACTTCTGCAGTAAGATTCATAGTTGCCGAAATCCTGTTTTCATCCACAAACTATGAGTTAGCATCTCTCAGCCCAGCTCATAATTACGCACCTGCCCCGGAGGACGTTCGTCAGTCTGATGCTCATCGCTCTTAGGGGGGCACACCCCAGTTTATTTGGCGTCTCTATTCGAAGCTGCACACCCTCAAATCTAGCGACCGTTTCTGGCGTGGAATAATTCGGAAGGAGAATAACTGTATATGGGACGAAAGGATATCTCTTCAGCTACAAGACCAGCTGAGTTTGGTTTCTTCAACCTTTTTAATTTTGGTAAAATCAACGGAAAAAACATTTTTTTCACTCCAAAATTAATGCCCAAAATTGCGAATTTTCGCGTAGTATAATCCCATAGAAAAAAATTTTCCGGCAAAAATGACTGATGCTGGCAGAAAGACCCAAGCCTTGACTATACCCGAGTAAATTATAAAGAAAATTCTAGTACTGTAATTTTTTTAATCGTCCACGGCGCGAGGGGTTGCAAATCCGCTACTAGGAAGGCGCAGAGCGAAATCTAGGTCAAACGGGCGGATTACACTTGGCGCGCAAGGATACCCGGAAGTAAGGTTCGGAGCCAAAAGATTTTTCACCCCAAAATCACCATTTCTTACACTCTTCAGCCATGTTAATGTTTAATGATACTTCGTGCCAGTTTATGAGAAATGTCACATCAAACTTGGGCCCTCAAAACCCCTTCGTCACTTTTTTTCAACGGACTATCGTGGACCCCGGTCGCGGAAGAACTGGGGTGTGCACCGTTAGCCTTGAAGTTGTCGCCTTCCATTCGTTTCAAATCCGGAATCACTGCAGGGGAGACACGATAATCAGCATGTGATGGAATTATGCCGACAATAATTACACTTAACTAAGGAGTATTGCATGAGCTGTAGCGTTCAGATCCGTTAAATATCGGAGATTTTCTCTATCTTAATCCAGCTGTTGACACTACATTATTATGGGTTCGTGGTGTGGTGAAACCATATTGCTTTTTCTGATGTTTCTTCTCCTCCTCCTTCTCCTCCTCCTCCTGCCATATCTTTAAATGGATTCAGCTTCTTCATTTTAGGGCCTAAGGTCCTGAAATTTGGTATGGAGGTACAGTGGGCAAATACCCCTAGGCGTTTTTTAAATTATTGTGATACAGGCTTTTAGAATGGTTTTATTTGAGTTTTTTGGCTGTGTTATAGCAAATGTATTACTGTGTTAGTCTGCCTTGTTTACCACGTTTGGGCATGAGTCATCACAATGGAATGCAGGGCATCAACCAATAGGCATGCAGCTTTCCTCTATACTTCTTGCTGATTGGCTGTTGGGATTTAACTTGATTAACACCTGCACAGAAGCATTTCCATACTGACAGTATGTCTGTATTCAAGTGTTTTGGTAGGTATTTCAAGCTTTCCTGCTCCAGCATTGGAATGCCGGGCATGGACGTTTTTTTTTATTTTGAAAATCAACAGTTTGCATTATGCAATTAAAAATCCTAACCAATAAAGTAGGGAATAGCTATCCAACTGTTGTTTTAGTTGTATTTTACTTCATATTATAGTTATATCAATGTAAATCATTGTTTTCCCTTGTGTTTCCCATTCTTTCCCTGCCATGTCGTAAAATGTGGTGAACCCATCGCTGTATTTGCTCCAAAGCAAATATTGGCCTTTCTAGTTTGTAACGATTTTCGAGTCTTTCTATGTCATTAACGTAAACTAAATTGATACCAACATTGCAGCACCCTTCTATCATCACAAAGAAAAAGGGAGTTGTCATGAAAGGTCTCTATGTAGTAATGGTTTATTTATGAGGCATGAGCCTATTTGCAATGATTAAAGTATGAACCGGAGCTGTGGCGTATTCTGTGGACCATGTACTGTTTAATTGCAGTGGAAAGTAACCGTGTAAGACTGTGATGTTCCCCGCTTATGCCAAAGTATTGAACGGGGTGCCTCGCCAAATGCACATTCTACATACGGAGCGAGGTTACCAACCTGCACATATAGGGAGCTCGGTCTAACATTTCGGATCCGTCAGCTTAGCGCCAAAATAACCCTTCACGGAAATAAATGGCAACTTTCTATACAAAAACTTTAAGGGAAATGCCAAAGGACTTGTGCAATTTTTGCATTACTCAGGACGTTGTACTACGGTATTAAGTACGGTTTAAGTTGTCTGCATGTTAAAAGTCGCACTGCTTTCTTATCAACCTCGCGTTGAAGCTTTTAAACATGTGGAACTTTCCGGTGATTCTAACGGACATCACTCGAAACGTCCGGAAGGAATCTTTGTATTTTTTTCAGTACTTTTTGTTTTAATTTGTCCATGAGTATCGTTTATCTTGATGTATAGCCTACATCTATGTGTCTGGGGTGTATTTTCTATCCACTGTCAATTTGCCTGTTTATTTCTTTCAGTATTTTGGTTTTATTTTCCTTGAGTATCGCTTATCTTGATGTTTAGCGTCCATCCCGTATGTGGGAAGGCAATTTAGTCTACTGTCGTTTTGCCTGTTTATGCCAATGACTGTTTGTCGGCTTCCAGGACCGTCCGTTAACGTGACGCTGGATGTTTTCATCAACAGCTTCGGCTCCATTCAAGCCTCCACCATGGTAAGAACTGAAATCTGTCAATCATTTATACATTTAGTACCATGGTAAGAACTGACACCTGTCAATCATTTATACATTTAGTACCATGGTAAGAACTGACATCTGTCAATCATTTATACATTTAGTACCATGGTAAGAACTGACATCTGTCGATCATTAATCTATCCATACATATAAATATACATACAAAATGCACGATTAATCCCTGTCAATAATAATACATTTAGTACGTCACATAGCACGTCAGCAGAACGTACTACACCTGCGCGAAACCCGGACGTTTCACGATTGGATGTTTGACACCTGTCAATCATTCGTACATTTAATACGTCACACGGTGTTCTAGCCAGCGCCGGTCTGTCCGCCATTTTACGGAATTATTCTGCTCAAGACGGACAGGAAGTTTGCCTACTCCGCCATCTTCCATACATAAATAAGTGTCAAATGATATGGAACACGATGTCATTACACATAGTTAAGTCTAACAGCAAAATTTGCACCTCAAAATGCAGTAGAGTTACAGAAGATCAAGATTTTAAACTTTACCCAAAGGAAGATGCCCCTGGACCCCCTTGGATTGTGATGTTGCGTCAAACAAAATTGAGATGACAGAAAAAATTCAGGATGACTAGAACACTGATGTCACCTATATAGCATGTCGGCACACTACGCTAGAACAAAAACTTTATGAGTCGGCCTATGAAGCTGCATGGGCACAGATTTTCCACAATTTCTCTGTTAATCAAGATATATTATCATTTTGTAGTTCGTACCGGAAGTCATACCATCATCCTATTCAGAACTTGAGCAGTTTAGTGGAACAGTCGATCATTTTAATCAGATCTTTGAAAAAAAAACATCCACAGGAGGTCGGCAGCGGATTGCATAGAATCGCGTTTTGTTGCTAACGACGTTCCTTAACAACATAACGGATGCCTCGGCATTGTTCCTGCCGAGATTGGGGTGAAGGGTCAATGTGCAATCAGCCGTCTGCAGGTGCGGCGTTAAGGTGTTCATTACGGGGGGAAAGTGTGATTAGTGCTCACGGAACGCGTTAATTGCCGGGCTGACCTATTTAGGCGTGCTGCGGATATTGTTGTGAAAGGCCCGTCGCCACCTACTTTCAGCCAATGTCTGCACTAATCAGTATATAGTAGAAGGGATTCATTCCTCAGCTAACCGACATCTCGCACACGTAGTCGTCCCTCAATAAGACAACTGGAGCCGCATAGTTCCTGTCTCGAACTTTTATTCAGCCTGTCACACTATCATACATGTAATATATATAGTATATAGTAGAGGGGATTCATTCCTCAAGCTAACCGACATTTTGCACACGCAGTCGTCCCTCAGTAATTAAGACACCTGGAGCCACATAGTTCCTGTTTAGACCTTTTATTCAGCCTGTCACACTATCATATAATATATAGTATATAGTATATAACGTTACATGTAGTAGAGGGGATTCATTCCTCAAGCTAACCGACATTTTGCACACGCAATCGTCCTTCAGTAAGACATCTGGAGCCACATAGTTCCCGTTTAGAACTTTTATTCAGCCTGTCACACTATCATATCATAGATAGCATATAGTAGAGGGGATTCATTCCTCAAGCTAACCGACATCTTGCACACGCAGTCGTCCCTCAGTATATAATATAAGGTATATAAGTGAGAACTTGCACTTGTGTCATTTAGCCTCTGTACACTTAAAGAAGCCACACAGGCGAAACCGGTCGTGTGACAGGCTGAATAGAAGGAAACAGGAACTATGCGGCTCCAGGTGTCTTACTGAGGGACGACTGCGTGTGCAAGATGTCGGTAAGCTTGAGGAATGAATCTCCTCTACTATATACTGCATTAATTAGCGTTCAGACGTAGCCTGCCCTCTTGTTATTTTTAGGTGAAAGCAAGGATATTTCTTCACAATGGTATATGATCCTATTTGCGGGCGCTGCGGATATTGTTGTGAAAAGCCTTCACCCCCTACTTTTAGCCAATGTCTGTATCAATCAGTGTTCAGACGTACCTTGCCCTCCTGCTAGTGTTAGGTGCAAGCCTGGATATTTCGTCACAAAGGGACATAATCATGAATGATGCATATCATTGATATGCAGTGAAAGCTGCTATTCAGCCAATGTCTGCATTAGTTAGTGTTCACCGGTACCCTGCCCTCCTCAGCTCCTATTATTTCTAGGTGAAAGCTATGCTATTCCTTCACAGAGGGACATAATCATGAATGATATGTTGCAGTGAAAGCTGCTATTCAGCCGCGGGGACACCGCGAATATTAACCGCGTTTTGCCATTCTGTTTTATGATTTGAGAAGAATCGCTGGAGACATTATCGTTTTTCATAGAGCCGCTGCTGAGGGAAAATTACGAAAGAATAAAATTCTCCACCCGCAGGGGAATCCAAAAGTCAATTAAAACGGTTCCTTGCATGCAGTCATCGTAATTGTTTTTCCCAAATGTCATCAATAAAAGTTTTCCGCTGACTGCGCTCTATCCATGTGTAAATAACCACGCATCGATCTGCCAGTAGCGAAGGTGGGAAGAGAAGTTTACAACTGTGTCTCATCAAACGATTAGACAGTCATAAAACACTCGAATAATGGTCTTCATAACTAATAGCGTGTTCGCTATACTTAGTTAGAATGCGTTCAAGACTGTTTAGGATATTAAAACAGTCTTTGCATGCTAATTGTCTCAAAGTTATGTCGCAATTAAGAGTTTGTAATTCTCTGTAGATAAGTTACACTGTTTCTTCTAGCAATCCTAAAACGGATAAATGTTAAAATCGCTGATTGTATCACTACACCTTCCAGAGATTCTTATCATAATTGTGCAGTACGGTGCGTTGAACTGTAGGTACGAACTTTTTTCCCGTGTATCTATTTGCATGAATCTTAAAACGAATGAAATTGAATTACGAAAATCACCGATTCCAAACATCTTTACACCTTGCAGATATTGCCTTCATAACTAATACCATGTTCACTATAGCTGCACTGTCTTTAGGCGATATACTTATCATAATTGTGCAATACGGAACGCTGAACTGTAGGTAAGAACTATATCCTTCCTTGTAGCTGTTTGCATGAATCTTAAAACGGATAGATGTGAAAATCGCCGATTCCATAATACGTAAGCCTTGCAGAGGTTGCCTTCATAACTAATACCATGTTTGCTATAGATGCACTGTCTTTAGGCGATATTCTTATCATAATTGTGCAATACGAAACACTGCACTGTAGGTAAGAACTATCCTCCCTTGTAGCTGTTTGCATGAATTTTCAAACGGATAAAATTGAAAATCGTCGATTCCAGATATATTTTCACCTTAAAGAGATTGCCTCATAACTGATATCATATTCACTGCACTGTCTTTAGGCAATATACTTATCATAATTGTGCAATACGGAACGATGCACTGTAGATAAGAACTATCCTCCCTTCTAGCTGTTTGAATATTAAAGACAGATGGATGTGGTGAGATATCGCGATGTGCTGATGTGATCAGGACCTGCAGCATCCTGAAGCTCGCAGGCAGCATCTGGTCCCGCCGTTCCGCGCCGTTTGAGTCCTGATGGATGCGCAAAGCTAAATTGAGACGAGCTAGACTGTGACAGAGCGGGATAACAAGGAATATAGGCAGCCTGTACTTCGGGCAGAGGGTCAGGTAGGGGGATCGGAGATGCCGGAACGTACAGACGGCATCTGGTAACCCCCAAAACACTCCGGATGACCGGAGGTACAATCAAACACTTTATTGTGAACTAAAGGACGCTGGTGACGCATTTAACTTGCAAAATGGGATATTCATTCTAAGATGTCTCAACATACAGACCGCATCTTAGTGTGTTCTGGTAACTCCCATAGATCTTCCAAAGTACTAGTACCCAGAAAACCAGAAGTATAATAAAACACTTCTTTGTGAGCTAAATGCCGCTGGTAACGCACTAAACTTGCTCCAATGGGCTGTTCATGCAAGTCGATGAGATCGTATTATTTGGCATTCAGCCTTGATCCATTGGCGTACATTTTATGACGCCTCGGAGACAAAGCTGAATCATATTCTTCCATCCGTGAGCCGTAAAAACACCGCCACATAAAGCGATAAATTGAACCTAAAACAACGCGTAAAAACCAGAATATGTCATCGATTTTACCATTTTGCAATAAAAAAAACTATAAACATGAATTTATGAGTAAGATTCTCCGGTTCCACAATATAACCGCGTTATTTAATATCAATTTCTTCATCAGATGATTTAACGACTAAATCCATCGAACAGATACTTTTCATTAAAGCAGTCGACAAATTACAACATTAAGTAGTCATTATGATGAAAAAACAAACATATTTATATCATAGTTTGCATCTGGTTTATAAGTCTAAGGCTTAGTCTGACAACATGATAAGTTATCACGATTGGCAGTGAAAAATGCATCCATCGTCCCTACGGTAAAGCGTTAAAAATCTCCCCGCGACTTCTCCTCCATTTCACGGGCTTTTGAGTTCCGTGTTTCCCCCCACCTGCTGCCAATACCGACCACCTGGCCTGCAACATCTGCGCTGCCAAAATACCTCTCAATAAATCTGAGAGAAACAACTTCCTATTTAGATAAGAGCAATTCATTCATCCCCTAAGTAATACAGAGGACGATAGACAAACAGCGAAGGGGTATGCCTACCTAGCCTCCACAGCAGGCTTATAGAACTGGGGGTTTGGTGGTCTTCGGCTGTTTTCTGATTAGCCCAGTTCTAAAAAAGGGGGTAATTCATCCAGGCCGGCTATGTTGTCTATATGCAATCAGAAAATAGCACATACAAGCTCCCAAAGACCACGAAGACCCCCAAAACCCCCAGCTTTTGGCATGCTATGGAGGCTAATGCCTACCCCATTTGCGAGTATTTCTCTCCTATCCAAAAGCCTTTAGAAAAAAAACGTCGTCGCGTTATTTGCACCTTAAATACCACCTAAATAAGGACCGATTAGATAAGGGCATTGTGAAAAAAAGTGTGCACCATTCGCTACGCTCCAACAATGTAATTTGTCGACTAAACACTTAGTGAAAATTCGCGTTGTTTGCCCCTTAAATACCACCTAAATAAGGACCGATTAGATAAGGGCATTGTGAAAAAGTGAGCACCATTTGCTACGTTCCAACAACAATGTAATTTGTCGACTAAACACTTAGTGAAAATTCGCGTTGTTTGCCCCTTAAATACCACCTAAATAAGGACCGATTGGATAAGGGCATTGTGAAAAAAAGTGTGCACCATTCGCTACGTTCCAACAATGTAATTTGTCGACTAAACACTAAGTGAAAATTCGGCTCACGCAGGCACGGTCCGAGAGGACTAAGTAACAGGTTTTCCAATTTTCCCGGAGTCATCTGTCTCCATGTGTCCTGAAGTGTACCTGCGTCTCTCTTTAGTTCTCCGCCTCCACGCATCGCGGCCGCCCATTATTAACACTTATAAATCCTGTTCTCTGTATCGATGTTTGTAGCGGACTAACTTTGTAATCAGTACGTTACGTGCCGGTGTTTCATCCCCGCTGATTTCCACCCTGCCTGTGGAAGTTTACCGCTTGTATTTGATGTTAAAAATAACCGGGTTTAGTTTAACGTTAGACACTCGTGACTCCTTACCCGTATCTATGATTAACTTCCAATGGACAAATCCATCTCAACCTGCGAAGAGTATTACCATTCGTCTCATCGGCATGACTTCAAGACTGAATACTAGACTATAAAACAGGAGTTTTAAATCATTTTCTGGTTTACCATAACTACATGATTGACTGTCTAATGCGGAACGACTCTTCCACTTCCTTCTTTTATTACTTTCATTTTTGTCTGAAATGTTTGATGTCTCGGGAAATGAATATACACAATACAATATTGAATGAATGTCATCATGTCATCATCATATTGGTAGGCTGCAACGCGGTATGTTTTTTCCAGTACATTTTGTTGATAACAAGTAGTTATACTCTCTCAGGAGCCGGTGGCTTCTGTATATCATAGCAAAGTAACCAGCAGGAATTTTATCATGAAAGTTCATCTGTGTTGGTAGTTACATGTTTAAAGTTAAAGCTTTTGGTCCAACACCAAAAACAAGTTCTCTCACCTAGAGCTTTCGACCAGTCACTCTGGTCTTCCTCAGTAGACTGACCCAGTCAGGGTTGTCACATGGCTTCTTTGAAGTGTGACGTCAACACTGGGTCAAAGGTATCTGGTATACGATGTCGGCCCCGTCGCGGTTCAATGTAGGGTGATGGTCCTGATGTATATGGCTTCTTTCACCCCTCTCAAATAGTCCTGTTCAGTGTCTAAAATCCTTACAGCAGGAATTTTATTCTCCCGCAGGATTACAAAGTGAACATCTTTCTCCGCCAGAGGTGGAATGATCCAAGGCTTCAGTTTAAGGAGTACAACGAAAGCCTGAGCATCGACCCAAGCATCCTCAACAGAATCTGGATGCCTGACTTGTTCTTCGCGAACGAGAAGGGAGCACAGTTCCATCAAGTCACCACCAAGAACAGACTCTTTCGCGTTTCGCCGACAGGGGACATCCTCTACAGTCTAAGGTAGGCGGACACTACTTGAAATTTCTCTTGGCCCCCTAGCGTTTTTTTGTACTGCAGGTGTTTGCATATTTGTTACGATATTTGTCTGGTTCAATATAGAGTACATATAGGACTCCTGCTTAACGTAAAATATCATTAACGCATTACAAAATCCTCTACTGTCTAAGGTAGGCAGACACCACTACTCAGAAGTTCTCTTGGCCCCCTAGCGGTTTTTGTGTACTGCAGGTATATTTATTCCGTTGCATCCTCCACGGTCAGTCAAAGCATCTCAGTAATCTTTATCATGTGATATGGCGCCCTAGCGTTTCTTTTGGTACTGCAGGTGTTCGGATGTTTCGTTGTGAACATGTCTCACTTACAGGTTATAACATCTAAAAGTCTATGATCAGTCTTCAGTATTTCTATAAATATCAGTGTTTTTTTGCATGTTGATGAGCGTTGCGTATCGATGCTTACATCGCGTTCTAGGCCCCCTGGCGGTTTTAATGGTACTGCAGGTGTATTTTTCGTTGAGAACATCAAAACCCACGGCGAACCTCCTGTCCTTCTATATGTTACAATGGTTGAGAGCGATATTTGAGCTCGGTTGACACCATGAAATATCGCACTGGAATTAATGTATAAATCACCAAAACGTGGATAAAGATATGAAGATTGATTCGTTCTCGTTGTTCCTTTCACCAGTACGATTTGCCGAGATCTGACAGTTGGGTGATTTGTGATGCAAGCTAAGCTATATTATACGGCGTTTTAGAGACGATCGTCATGAAATCTTTATTAGAAACGCCACTTAGCATACTTATTGAGTCTGAATTATGCAGACATTACACACATTACACTAAAATCAAGATGATTGGTTAAATTTAGAGTACATATTAGACTCCTGCTGATGATGATTTCACATATCTGAGCACACTAGAACTGGAACAAATCTGTAAATGTTATAAGATGAACATACAGGAATTTCACGTTATTTACTGTAATTACCATTGCAAATGAGCCTGGATGTCACGGAGGAGACTATGTTACGGTATTTGTCTGGTTCAGTATACATAGTACATATAGGACTCCTGCTTAGAATAATGTAAAATATCATTAACGCATTACAATTGGAACAAATCTGTAAATGTTAATTAGATGAACCTACAGTAATTTCACGATATATATATATATCTATATCTATATCTATCTATCTATATCTATATCTATCTATATATCTATATATATCTATACATATATCTACCTCTATCTCTCTCTCTC